GGTTCAGGAGGGAAACCAAGACATTCTTTCCCACAACAATTATTAAACCATTGTATCCATTATAACTATTTAAAAAATTCTACTATTTTAAAAGTCTATTTATTTATTTATTTATTTATTTATTTATTTATTTATTTATTTATTTATTTATTTTCTCACACTTGTCTGTGGTCAGATTAAGGCAACAGGTTCAGGAGGGAAACCAAGACATTCTTTCCCACAACAATTATTAAACCATTGTATCCATTATAACTATTTAAAAAATTCTACTATTTTAAAAGTATATTATTGTAGAAGGGCATACTGTATGTTACAATTTAGCATTTGATTTGTATGTCTTTTAACTATTTGTGTTAAAAGTTACACATTAAAAATGTAAGTAATTCAATTCAATTCAAAAATTATTGATTGCAAGGGAAATTACATAATCCAATAAAACTTAATTCAATGTGTTCTATAATCTTTATAAAGTCATAAGGTAAAAACAACTGCAACAGCACACCTGGCACAACAAAAATATACCTCAGATGAAATATGTTAATAACCATGAGTTTCATGACCAAATGTTTTTAATATAAGCAAATATTTTCCATCTAAATTCAAAGTCAATCCTGAAAATGTTTCCTAATGAAATGATTGAGTTTTGTCATAATTGTGCAGTTCATTAAGATAGAATCAGAAACTACAGTGATTCTAGAAACTTTTAATCCATAAATTTGGTAACGATCTTATGAAGACCTGGTGCAACTCATTCATGATACTTACATTTCCCCCTCTTGTATTGGTCCCTTGGTAGACTTCTATCAAATCTCAATGGATTTGGTTTCCCAAAAAATAAAAAGCCTGCCTCTTTACAGTAATTACAAAAAGATGTTTGTGAACATAAATGAGTGACTAGCTTGTCTTTTCAGTGTCGGAGGGAAGGATCTTAATGATTTCTATTTTAACTTTTCTCAATAATACAAAGAAGTAAAACTTTGGGAAACCAGACCCAGAGATTTAAAGTCACATGTTCTGGTTCACACTGACCTTTGACCTCCAACTTGCAGTCCACCTGGGCCTCTCCCAGATCGTTGATGGCCTTGCAGGTGTACATGCCGCCGTCGTATGGACTGGGCTTCCTGATCTCCAGAGTGCAGACTCCTTGGTTGCTGAACATGCGATAACGTGGGTCATCTAAGATGGTGATCTTATTCTTCATCCAGATGACTTTGGGCTGCGAGCAGGCAAAGATACATCAGCAGCATGGTTATGCAGCTAATGGACTAATTAAGATTTAAGATCCTCATAAACTAATTTAGTTATTCTTCTACCTACCCTTGGGTTGGCACGAACGCTGCAGTTCAGAGTAGTATTGTAGCCGGCGACGGCGAACGTGTTGATTAGTGGCTGCGTGAACTTTGGCGCCTCCTTGAAGTCGTGATTGTTGTACTCGGGGTTTTTCACCTGCATGCCTGTTGAGGGAAGAGTAAAGGAATGGGGATGCGCATGATACTGGCGCTGAGCGGTATCATGAGGGGAACTCTCTATGTGATGAGAAAAAGACAACGTTTTTGTTTAATACATTGAGACTAAGACACCACCCTTTAAAGGTCTGTCAGTCATACCCAGAACCCTGTAATCCCTCTCACTTCAGGGTGGAAGCAATCACTGACAGGACCTTTTGAGAAAACAGCTTTGGAAAATGTGATTGGATAATAGGAAAAACAACTTTGTTGAGATTTTTGCTTTGTTCCAAAGGTTTTGAGTTCAAAACATTAACCCCCCATCAGAAATAAAGGTCAGGAATCCTTTTTTAGTTTAGAGCAAATTAATAGAAAATAAAATGAAACAAGCACATATTTTCCTGAATACTTACCCTTTCATGTATGGAATGAATTAAATACAGGCCTTTTTGAATACAGTAAATGTAAAGCAAATGAATGTTGGATAGGAACTCTTTCCATTTTTTAAGTTTTTTCTCTAATTGTTAGTCATATTTTATATCAATATTTGTTTTATAGCTATATTTATTTTCTTGTCTAAAAGTCTTTATTTAATATTGTTGGCATTCCACAGACTTGCGGCACTGTTGTACCTTCTTTGACGATGAGAGCACTCTTTTTAGTTTGGGTAGCGGTTTCGCTCAGGCCACACATGTTCTCTGAAAAGATCCTGAAGAAGTARTCGTTCCCAACCACCAGTTCTGTGATGGTGATACAGGTGCGATGATAATGCTCGATACATGTGAACCATTCCTGAGAGCAGAGTAAATAAGATATATTTAATAATTAAAAACCACACAGGTTTGAATGATACTATTCAGAGTTTTACTTTAGTCAAATGGTTTTGTTACCATTGTCTTCTTGTCGGCTTTTTGAATGGTGTAGCCTGTTATTGGGGCATTGCCGCTGTCTTTCGGAGGGGTCCAAACTAGAGCTACATTCCCTCCCCAGACATCTTCAATAGTCACACTCAGAGGAGGGCCTGGTAGATCTAATATATGAAAAAGACTCTAACACTGCTCATATTATTTTGATAWTCTTGTTCAAGAGCATGAAGCATTTACTCACCTACAATTTGTATGTCGATAATWGCAGTGTCTGCGTAGTTTTCAACCTGCACAGCCATCTCATAGTTCCCAGAGTGGCTCCGCTCGGCTTTACGGATAAATATGATACTGTCACAGTCTGTGTTACGGATGCTAACATGAGAAGGTTCTACGGGCTTGCCCTCCTTGAGCCAGGTGACCTTTGGTCGGGGTTTCCCCTGTGCAGACAGGAGCAACAKAAAGTGTTTTCTGCTCAGATGTACAACAGTTAAGGAACTGGGAGATTTACCTGGAAAGGCAC